GGACTCTCAACCACTGCGCCACCAGGGAAGCCCCTTTTTTAAATTTTTTATAAATTTATTTATTTATTTATTTTTAGCTGTGTTGGGTCTTCGTTGCTGCGTGCAGGCTTTCTCTAGTTGTGGCGAGCAGGGGCTACTCTTCGTTGCAGTGTGCTGGCTTCTCATTGCAGTGGCTTCTCTTGTTGCAGAGCATGGGCTCTAGGCGCTCAGGCTTCAGTAGTTGTGGCACGTGGGCTCAGTAGTTGTGGCTCACAGGCTCTAGAGTGCAGGCTCAGTAGTTGTGGTGCACGGGCTTAGTTGCTCTGCAGCATGTGGGCTTTTCCCAGACCAGGGATCGAACCAGTGTCCCCTGCATTGGCAGGTGGATTCTTAACCACTGTGCCACCAGAGAAGTCCCCCCATGGCTTTAAATACTCTCTATATGCTGGTGACTCCCATGTTTGTATTTCTAACACAGCCCTTTCTCAGGGCTTCCTGCTCTTGTCCACGCATGGAGCTCTTGATATTCCTTCCAGATCTCTCCTTCCCTCTTTCTTCCCCACCCCAGTCCATGGCCCCACCGTCCACCCATTTGCAAGAGTCGTCCTTGATTCTTCTCTCCCTTACCCCTGACATCCAGGCTGTCAGTGGGTCCCAGGGGTTCTACTTCTGGGATATTATCTGGGGTGCATTCTCCTCTCCCTAGAATCATAGCTCCTACTCTAGTCCTGGCCACTGTAGCCTCCTTCCTGGGCTAACTTCCTAGCAGTCCCCCCAGCTTCCACTCTGGGGTGTCTCCAGTCCATTCTCCACATGGGAGCCCGAGTGATTGGCTTTTCAATCAGGTCACATCACTCTTTTCCTTAAACACCCTCCAGCTGACAGGCAGCTGGCTTGTGCCCCGCCTTCCCAGTCACTCTGGCCGTCCCTCACTGCCTTCTGCTAACACTGGCCTCCTTTCTTTTCTTGCCCTGCCTGGGAGGTCTTTGAACTTGCTCTTCCCTCTTCCTGGAAAGTTCTTGCCCTGACTCTGCAAATACCTTCCTCCTTCTCATCCTTGGCATTTTGACATCAGGATCTCCTGCTCAGGGAACTTTCCTGACCACCCCTGTTAAATGCTGACAGTAGCCACACTTTGTTCCCACAATTGCTCACCACAGCACACCTGCTGTCGTTTGAGTTCTACCTACTTGTTTATCATCTGCCTTCCCCAGTAGCACCCCTAGAGGACAGGGTCTTCTGTTTTTCACCAGTGAATCCCAACAGCTAGCACAGTGTCTAGCACCTGATAGGTCCCCAATAAATTTTTTGATTGAGTTAATGCTTGAATGTGGTGGGCAGCCTTGCTTGGATTATGGCCTGGAAGTTGTGGATTACCTTTTATATAGCACACTAAATTGAGAGTTGCAAGGGCCAAGAGAGAAAGAAATCACATTTGGATGCAGTTTTCTTTTAATGCTAAAGCAAGCCATTTAGCTTTTATTGTGACTTGGGTTAATTTTCAGGCTGTCGGCTCTCACCTGATCATTGGGGTTGTAAATTACCTTTTTACCCGCCTGCAGGAGGCTAACAGAAA